ACAATGGCATTTGTAGACAATAGTGCAATGGTGAGACAATAGTGCAATGGTGATGGCAATGGCTATCACTTGCTTCAAGCCTAAGTATAAAGTATACAGGTATGTGTGATGGCTTGTGTCAAATGCTATTTAATTTTTTTCTCCATCTCATGCATGAAAATGAAGACGTCGGGGTAATAAAATGAGAAGCTTCCCATGACCTGCCACCACCACTTCCGACACCAACTCACCACTGCTGAAAATAATCCGTAGGAACCGTCAATGATGTATACTGGTTTTCTTCCATCTTAACTGTTGACTTATTTGAATACATTAACATTCATTCTGCTGCCAAAAGCATCGGCAGACACTGGAGATGTGAGCTACAGCACATACTGTTGGCACAAAGAAGACGGATGGACGCTGCTACAGGAAGATGGAAGGTTTAGCTAACCGTAAGCTAACAACATTACGCAGTCCCAACAGCGGTCTTTGAACCGTCAATGACCGTTACATCAACGACACATAAAGGTGTGTGAGCAAACTAACATACCTGTCATACATTTTTGTTCTTTAGTTTTCAGATAAGGAGACGGGGAGCTGGGAATCCTCCCATAACAAAGACCATTTAAACACTCATCATTTCCGTGTGCGCAGCTCGAGTGAAGGCTCATCGCCCCCTCGTGGTTAGGAGGTGTACTGCAGGGGTCAATTTAAAATTAATTATTTAGGATGTTCAGTCTTATTACACAAATATACTATAACAATTTTACAGATTATTTGTTGGTTTAAACATTATAACATTTAGACAGAATTACAGTGTATTGTACACAGAGTGTATGAGTTTGTACCGCTAGATGGCAGCAGATATCGTAGATGTGGAAGCACCAGCACGAATTTACACTGTAGACGAACGTAGCAGCCAAAGATAGTGTATATTTGTAAAGCGCTTCACTCCATAGGGAAAGCGGGACCAATTATAAATACACACACATGCTGAAAAGTCCATATCTAAATCATATTAATAAGATTTTATTTTTTCATTTCTATGATCTGACCCACCCAGATTCCTTAACGTACGTATCTTAAATTGGCACAACGACGTAGAGGTTAAGTTGAAAGGATATTAGCACACAGTATGTGGTTAGCTAGGTTGGCTGTTTAACAAAAAAAAAAGGTGGTCGTAAGATAGCTAGCCTACATAACCAAGGAGTTTCTAAATGGCAGAATATGAAGTTAATTCAATCCTATAAGGCAATTAAAATCCAGCTCATTCAATAAACTAATGCAAATGCATAACCAGGCGACGGGAAACAAAATATTTGCGGTACCGGCAAATAAGGCAGAGTGAGAGCTCCTTCCAGTTTTTAATCATCTCCGTGTTAGCTAAACAGCATGACCTGTGTGTCCCAATGACAGCAACATGCACAGGGGTCTAAGATGGTGAAAATTAGCTTCGCATTGCGGCTTTTTACTCAAGTTACTGTGGATTAAACAAGGTGCGGTCCTATTAGCGTTACTGCATGTCACTTTATGTCCGTTGCTCTGTTGCCTTTTTATGTTTTTCAAAGTTTTAGTCCTGGAAACTGCTAGCATTATTCACCATAGGGCTAACAAACATTTACAGTTAGCTTCATAGTCAGTGGATTTACTGTACAGGTGGTTGGTAGTCATACACAGTACATGTATGATTATGTGCACGATACGCGTAAATATGAAAATATGATAAAAAAAAAATGGTGAACTTAACTTAGCCGGAAAACCATGTATTGACGCGTACACATGCCCATAGTAGCTATACAGGATCACAGTGTTGTTATGTATGTATGTATTAACACGTGACTCATTATACTGTCCACTTATGTGATGCATAGCCCTGATTGTGAGGCATTGTTTTATTATTTTAACAGACAATAGCAGTGCTTATTTATCAAGAAAGGGATCTGACATCATTTTTGACTTAAAACTAAAGAGGAGTAGACAACAATATTTGATGCTTCTTTTCTGGCATATGGTTTTGTTTACTAATGTCTCTATTTTCAAGGTTGAGGACGTGTGTGTGTGAAGATGCCAGCCGGTGTGTCTTGGCCTCGGTACCTGAGGATGTTTGGTGCAAGTATATTGGCCATGTTTGCAGGAGCACAGGTCGTCCACCAATACTACCTACCTGACCTGGTGAGGGACAAAATTAACCGTTCTTTTCAAGTGGCCTGTCTGTCTTTCCCAAATATGTTCTGTATATGAGAGGTTCCTTAGAACTCCTCTCATTGGATCAAAATATGATAGCAGTAAAGCCAGTTTGTGCAAGGGATTGTAAACTTGATGATTGATGTCATACTGGGAAGGGATTCATACAAAAATACTGGCTATTTTGAACACTGATTTACAATTAGACCCACTGTATGATATCATAGGAGCAATCCCTAATCCAGCTATGGATAACAGAAATGTTTGCATGCCACATGACCTTTTATTGGTGGTGGGGGGGAGAAAAAAATATCTTGGCTCCAGCCACTGCCACCCACCCTACATCAATGGCAAGACATGTTTGTCAAAGTGTACCTAATGGGAAAAAAATGACAAAACCCAATATAAAGACAGACAGGTTTTTTTTTTTTCATTTGTGGGCTCCTGTTATTACTTGTCTTAGATTACCAAAGCTTTACTGATTTAATTGTGAATTTGGCCAAAGCTGGCATCTGTTTCTTTCTGTGTATTTTTATTTTCTGTTTGTATTTTTTTGATGTGGATGCTCATGTTGCCATGATTTAATGTTTTTCAGGGTTTTTTTTTTTTTTTTGCCAAACTGTGAGTTAGTTGATTCTTTGTTGTTGTTTTTTTCTATTGCTTTGGTTTTTGAAAAGTTTAGAAACGGATGTACATACTGTGCAGCTGGCTGTCACTCTGTAGTGCCACTGTTATTATCCATGGTATAGTATGTGTTGTTATATAGCCAAATTATTTTCCTACGTCTCCCATTATGTAATTTGATGGCTACCGCAACACAGGTGTAAAACTGTTGCTTTTACTCATAGATGTGTTTATGGACATATGAAAATACTGTATATATGAGGTCATTTAATGAGTGTCATTTAATTGAATTTAATTTAGAAAACATTCATGGGGAACCAATTTGTCGGCGTTAGCACATGAGAATTATTAGTGTGTGACACATCAAAAGCCCTCATTGGCAGCCAGTGTGAGGGATGATAACATTTAAAAGGAGAAAGCAGTTAGTGGGACAATGAATCGCTTTATTGTACGGAGCAAATTAAAACAAAGCACCAGCTAAGACGACCTACTACTGAAAGAAAAAAGAAAAAAAACTTCAGTGATTTTTTTTTACATATGTTTATTGTCTTCTGTTGTGACAACACACGTTAGAGAAGCTGTTGTGCACAGGTATAAATGCAGGTGTGCCTTGGGCACAAAAGGTTTGAAAACCTCTGGGTCAGGTAGCTGTTCGTTTGCCTATTCACTGTTTATGAAAACTCTTTTGTTCCACCTGCGTAGTTTGTATTTGGTGCATGTCTACAAACTGTATGATAGTGCTTCCATTGTGACGTGAATGGAAAGAATGCAAAGTAATCTTGTTTGATAAACAAATATTGGGGGCTGGGCCACATGTATCTTTGAAAGTCAAGCCACGGGCCATTTAAAATCGGTCTGTACGCCACAAATGGCCCCCAGGCCAGACTTTGGACATGCCTGGTATATACAGAAGGAATTAACCAGCCCAAGGTTTTTAAATCAGTTTGCTATAATTTATCTACTCCAGCACTACTGGGTGAGAATCAGCTCCAAACAAACTCAGGTGCTCAAGGTTGCTATCAAAATTTGTTGAAGCTGCTGAAATATGTTAATGTGATGTCATACTGATAATTGACTAGTTATGCATGGGAATATAAAAAATACAACACCACCCAACCGAACAGGCCCGATCTCTCAGGATGTGTTTACCAGTGTTTCCTGTCTTTTAACCTTTCAGACTATACCAGAGGTTCCACCAAAGCCCGGGGAGCTGCAGACAGAACTGCGAGGCTACAAAGTCAGAGAAGAAGCTGCTGCGACGTTACAGCGGCTAAAAACAGAAGAGAAGGTGGACTGATGTAGGATTGCACCTCCTTTGTGTGACGGACTCTTAATCAAGCACACTATGTCCAATATTGTGCCAACACTTAGAGGTTGCCATGTGCCTGAGAGTTAAGTCATTGCTGGGACATCTGCAAATGGATATTTTCTGTGCTGCTGTTTTCTACTGATGGAGCAAACAGAGGTGGAATTCAGTGCCACACTGTTGGCTTCTGCCTGTTCAGGATAAGGTTCTTATCTGGAGCAAGATTATTTGGTTTATACAACCATGCATACCCATGTGTTGTCCTCCTTTTTGAATGTGTTTGCATTTTTAGACCATGTGATGACATATATATGAGAGTAAGAGGACATGGACACACTGTAACTGCTGAAATCATTAAGTAATATTTGTTCCATTCAAAAGTGAATACTTGGATTGTTTTTCCAATAGCAGACAAAATGTGTTAGAAATTAAAAATATCAAACTAAACCTTAGTCATTATTTTGTGGCACATGTTAGTTTTCTGTACATCAAAATATTGATAATTGACTAATCATTTAAAGTCAAGGAAAATGTCACATTCTGTTTCCAGCCTGAAAATGTGAAGATTTAATGCTTCTCTCTCTCTACTGTACGATTGTAAATCTTTTTAAAAGTTGTAAATTTTGGATTCTGCTGGTCAAATTTCAAAGAAAAAAAGTGAATTCCTGCACATACTTATCACTTTTGCTTTGATTTATCAAAAAACTGTCAATGTTTCAGACACAAGGACCTTTTCTCAAGTCATATTCAAAGATGATAAAGTAACACAGTGCTTAAATACAGACTATACTTGCATGATAATCTGTGCTGGTGGTATCACCATGATTACACACCAAAGAAACACTCCTCAAGATCCCCTCTACCATTTAAGCATGCAAAATAGGTTGATGCACATTCAAAATCCCTCTAACACCATCAAAAAAAATGTATTCAAGTTAATGGCAAACATATGACACAGCTCAAATATACAATACACAAATGCCCATCTCATGACCCTAACATCATCCATATAAATATATAAACATATATACACCTAAACCAGTGGCATAAGGTAGTTGCAACACGCCCCAGTGCATGCTATTGTGCACATATTGTCACATGATCAGAGTCTTGACATTGGATACATCAACATACACATCACATAACAGTCATCACTCCATATCTGTAAATGACAAAAACAGCAAAGAAAATAAGAAATTATTAGTTTAATTTAACAATTGTAATAGTTTATTATGGTTTATTTGGAATAAGCATATTTTGTTATCGATGCTATTGACTATTTTGCAAAAACAAACAAAAAAACCCAATGAAGATGGTTTTGCCTTTTTCGAGGAGTTCTTCTTTGAACACAGGCATATTTCAAAGTTAGCAATCACTCGTAAAGGCCCATTCTCCACCCAGCATATTATTGGAGGGCCCACTCTCTCTGGGTCCCCCACCTCAGGGACACCGATGCAACCGCACTGTCTTTACTGTCCATATTTATGCCCCTGACCTAAACACACTTTGCTTTATGTCTACAGTAGGCCCATTTCATAAAAAATGTGAAGATTGAGAACAATGGGCTCAACAGGTGACTCAGTCTTATTTTCACACCACCACACTTCCCTCTTGTAAATATAGACTCACAGAGGTACAGGTGTGGACTATGATGAAATTATGGGCTGTATTTAAGCACTGTGTCACTTTATGATCTTTAAATATGTCTTAAGAAAGGTCCTTGTGACTGAAACATCTACACTTTTTTAATACATCAATGCAGAGGTAATAAATGTGTTTGTGAATTCACCTTTTTTCTTCTGGGGGAATAGATTACCTGCAACACAAAGAAGACAAAGCAAGTTGTGTGTGTTGCTTTTCACTCATTCTGACTGTTTTTCTGTTTTTTTTCTTTGACATGTTGTAGTATAAAATCCTCATATTCATTATTCAAAAAATTGAAATAATAGTTAATTGCAGCCGCAATGAAGAATACATGATTATTTAACCAAGAGCTGATTTGAGATCTGTTCTGTTTTGAGTGCGCGCGCTCTAACCGTAGGATGTTGGCGTATCATAGCAACAATTGTAAACAGCCGTGAAGTGAAAAGATGGCGACGCAGAGGGAGAAAGACGCTGAAAATTATCTCAAGAAACACAAGATTATCGAGCTGATGGACAACCTGACCAGCATGCTCTTCTTCTACAGACCTGGTCAGAGATGATTTTAATCTGTGTGTGTATTACAGATAAAACAACATGAACATCCGGTGCTGAAAAACTCTGCGTGTTTACGTTAGCTAGCTCTAATTATGACACACATGCTAACAAGTCATTAATTAAACCTATTATGTAACTATATCTGTGCTGGATTAGGATTACATTCTATCTATTCTATTTCTGTATTTAAATACAACACCAGTTTTGCATTGCTGAATTTGCCTACTTAGCCTATTGTTCATATTAGTTTTTTTGATACTGTAGCCTAAATATTTTGGTTGCTGCAAACTTGTCTAAAAGTGTTCACTAATTTAACCGTCATCACCAGAAACGTGACTGGTGCACCTCAGCAGCTCTGATTAACTGTGATTTCTTCTTCGCTCAGAGAATCCCAGAGAATTTCTTGTTGAACAGCTGGAGCAGCTGAAGCTTTCTCGTCTGAGTGGTGTCAAAGGCCCACATCTGTTCAACAGTGCCAACCTGGATGCAGTTTTCGGAATACTGGACCCCACTAATCAAAATTACATCACCTTTGCACAATACAAGCACGGTGAGCACAGGATGTGGTCACTACATTAGGCTCTCTTGTGCAGAGAGACTAACACTGCACACACTTCAATACGATTTAACACATAATTGTTATTTACTGTAGATCAGTGGTTCCCAACTGGTGGGTCACGGTCCAAAAGTGGGTCGAATTAAAAGAAATACTCACAGAGCCTTTTCCACCTGCAGCTCTGACCACACTGGGCATAAAAGACATTAATGAATGTCCTGAAGGTGTAAACGAAGACAAAATATCCCATGAGACCTTCAAAACAGAAGCGTAAGAGCAGCTTTTAAAATCCAAACAGCATGACAATGACACTATTCACAAGCATTTTAAATTCACCACTATAATGAAGATAATTTTCCTATTGTCTTGTTACAGGATTCAAGGCCTGCGGAGATGCTCAGCAACATATGAACAAGTGTAAACTTTGATGTTTTCTTCCTTACGTGGGATTGCGTTTTGTAAAATGAACAAATTTTATATAATTATTATTATTAAACTGTTAATATGTATTCTGATTCAGGTAGTTTTCTTTTAAGTATTTGCTAGGCTTTTTACACTAAAATCAAAATTGTTAAATTATATTGTGAAATGTGTATCTGAACAGGATAACAGAGTGAGCCTGCTACAGGTATTGTACATCCTAAGCAGGGTTGGACATTGGCACCAGCCACCAGCCAAATGCTGGTAAAATTTGCAAGTGGCTGCTAGATTTGCTTCAATCACCAGCCAGCCAGCCAAAAACAAAAAAACAAACAAACAGTAATCTATTTGGTGGCTCATACAGTTTGGAATCCACCAGCCATGGTGGCAGACTGACAAAAAGTTAATTTTTAACCCTGATCCTAAGTCTGCGTCCCAGCTCCGCTACTTCTGAACGATTGTTTTCCTTTCCTACTCTTATATTGAAATAAAATAATCTCCCAGTTGTTTAAACTCACACAACTGGTCAGTTAAACAATGTCTCACATAGAAAATGCATGTGAAACTGTATCCAGTTTTCACATAAAAAGACAAAAAAGAGTAAACTTTGTTTACTCCTTAGCATCACCTTGCCTAAAACATGATTATGAACACAATGTACAATAATGATAATGATAATAATGATAATGATACTCTTGTATACATATTCTCCTTTTTAGGGTACTCTATATTGTAATAAATCCATCTTGCCATCTAACCTGCATAGATGTAATTAGAAAGTTGGAGGGGTTTTGGGTCTGTATCTTCCATTATATGAAAACCAAACAAACAGCACAAGTGTTATTTTGTTTTTGTTTGTAAGTAATAGTGCCTATTGGAAAAAAAGATTTAAAAAAACAGCCTGCTATTATTATTATTATTAAATTAATTCAAATTACTATTTTTTATTTTTTTTTTACAGAAACATGGTATTATCATTATCATCAGCTGTACTTATTGGTGACAAATTCAAAAATAATACGATATGATGCTGTTTAATTTAATATATAAATATAACAGAAAAACTGTCAGTAGAAATTGTAATAGTATACATTTCTTTTTACAAAATGTATGTATTTATTTCTCTCATTTTTGTATTTATTATCATTTCTTATCAAATTAACTCAAAAGACTCTTTAAAATATGATTGCTCTCTGAATTTTAAATGACGAAGCTCTTAATTTTATTAACTGTAATTGTTAATTTTTTATTACAGAAACATGGTGTTATCATCATCATCATCATCATCAGTTGTACTTATTGGTAATAAATTCAATGATAATATGATATGATGTCATATAGTTTAATATAATTATAAGAGATAGTGTCAGTAAAGATTGTGGTAGTATACATTTCTTTTACAGAAATATTTTTTCTCTTTTGTATTCATTATTATTATTTTTTTAATTAAATTAACTCAAAAGACATAGACTTAAAAATGTGATTGCACTCTGAATTTAAAATGAAGAAGCTCTTAATTTTATTAAATGTATTTTTATTTTTATTTTGTTTTTACAGAAACACGGTGTTATCATCATAATCAGTTGTACTTATTGGTAACAAATTCAAGCAACAAATTCAATAATAATCCGATATAATGTATAATTTAATACAATATATTTATAACAGTGTTAGTAAAAATTGTGGTAGCATACATTTCTTACATATTTTTATTTTTTCTCGCTCTTAATTTATTTTATTTTATTTTATTTTATTTTATTTTATTTTATTTTATTGTTGAACATTTTGCAGCGTTGGTGTGTTAAACGCGCACGAGCAGAAGGCGTGGTCAGGAAGTGACATGGCGGACTCCTTATACGGAGCCTCGTCGCCTTTCTCCGGTTACTTGTAGGTTAAATTAGTGAGTCTTTTTCCACGTGAAGTTTGGCCCATATTCACCGGGACAGCGCCCTGCGGAGCTCAGCATGGGCACCGTCCACGCCCGGGTAAGGAAAAGTCCGGTGACCGTGTTAGCTACGATTGTGACCTCTCCGTGTGCTCAGTGAGTTACAGATAGAGCGGCCAGTGTGCTGTAAGAAAAGGCCAGACTGTACATTCAACAAGGTCCAACAGGGCACAGGCTGGCAGCTCTGTGACGAGACACGGATAATAAACCTGTTAGTTAGTTATAACTTCAGTTTAATGTAAACTCACTGTCTGCTGTGTGTTATAGACGGAAACTGACAGTAAGGAGAGTAGTGACAGATGCTAGAGGCTCCTCTACTCATTGTAGTCCTGCTGCAGTCAGCATGCTGTTGGATAACAGCTCGTGCTTACTACTGTACTCTCTTAGTGTTGTTTACACCAGTGCTTACTCCTTATTCATATCCATTCATCTTTTACAGGGCTGTAGCAAGGGTTTAAGAAATACTGAGGTCCAAGGGCCTAACTTTTCAGGAAGGAGGGGAAAATGAAAGTGGTGGTTTGGGGATCTCTGCCAGGAAATTTTAACGTCAAACACGTACTTTTCTGCCCTCTGGTGAATTTTTCTAGACCAATTTGTGCCTTTTCTGCATCAGTTTGTGGCTTAAATGATGTAATTTTGTCAAAATAAATCCTCTGCTACTGTCATGTTTTTATTTTGTATTAATATGTAGGGGGACATATCCTCTGCATCCACACTGCAAAGTTAAAAACTCCAACTATGCATGTTACTGTACAGGAAATTAAAAGCTGTGTACTTTTCCTTTAACCTCCAATCTCTTAGTTTTGCTCTTGGTGAACATTTAATCATATGTTTAATTCCTGTCCCCATGAAGCAGTTTCCATTTTTCTCACTATATTTCCCATTATCCCAACAAATAATATTTTACTATATTTTCTATCAATTGTATCTCCGTGCATAGAACTGAACCAATACATTAATTTATGGATAAGTCAACTTGTCAGCAGCTATTTTGATTATTGATGATGATGTTTGTGTATATATGCACAGTTTGTGTGTATATACATAGCTTGTGTATATGTGCATAGTTTGACAAAGAAAAAAAAACACATTTGTCATGATTGGATAAAGATATAAAGATGAGATTATTTTTTGAGTAAGGTGTATATAGAAGAATTTTTATTTGCTAAGTAGTTTTGTAATTATTTTATTTCTTGCTGCAAGACAAATATTATTGGTAATTAATTTAATATATTAGAAGAGGTCTCGGAGAATCAATTATTGTACAGCGTTATACTAATGGGGAGCTACATAAATGACTATGATTAATAACTGGAGAAGGGGCAGGAATAAATTGGTTTGTACTTCCTCCCACTCCTTTTAGGACATGTGAATCTAATCATAATATGTTGTTGTCAGTTTTCATGCTTCCTTTAGTAACCTGTTTTTTATGTCTGTCTACTGCTGTATGATTATTTTATTTGCTACTTTCATGTTTGATATAAACTGCTTCTAACTAATGAATCCTTTTCACCTTATCAGTCATCTTTACAAGCTAATATGTTGATCATTCTCTGGTTCCAGCTTGTCCAGTGAGATGATTTGATGCTTTTCTCTTATTTATTTGTTGCTAACTGAATATCTTTTGGTTTTCATCAGACAATGAACAAAGACATTTGAAGATGTCATGTTGGACTGAACATTTTTTCTGACATTTTATAGACCGACTTACTGAACTGTTAATCGAGATAAATAGCTGCAGATTAAGCAATAGGAAAGAATAATCATTATTTGCAGCCCTACTCTGTTTCTGGGAACTTAACTGTTCTTGAGAATACTAAATTCAGGAGGAGTAGGCTTGATTGGGTCCAGCATAAGAACACCCAACATGCATAGTATCTATGTAATGTGCGAATGTAATGTCTTTGTGTCATTATTAACCCCCGATATTTCCAGAAAAGTGACATAACCTCAGTGTCTTCAGTTTTATCTACAGCCCTTGAAATCTTGTTGTATCTCATTTGACTTATATAAATTCATTTAATATGCTCTTGATTGTGATTCTTATTTCTTTTCTCATATTTTGTGTTGCAGAGCCTGGACCCTCTGCCCATGCGAGGGCCAGAGCTAGGAGTTCATCCTGACGACATCGAGGCACCAGATATTGATCAGGAGCCGAAGCAAGAAGTTCTTGAAAACAAGGATGTAAGCTTTGTTTTGTTCCAGGCAGTAATTACACCAGACTCTTACACTATGATTCTCACATTACCAGACCTGTCTCCACACTGTGTTTGCTCTGCCAGCACATGAAATGGGAATTCCCTGCTGTCTCGTATCCACAACACATTTCAGAGGTCTAGTGTGTAGGATTTAGAGGCATCTAGCAGTGGTGTTGCAGATTGCATCCAACTGAAACTTCTCCTGTGTGCCAAGAGTGTAGGAGAACAACGGTGGCCAATGTGAAAATGCGAATGGCCCTATTTAGAGTCTGGGCTATAGTAGAAACAACATGGCAGGCTCTGTGTAGGACACCCCAGTCTGTATGTAGATATAGTCCCGTTTCCACCAAACACTTTGGGTATAGTAGCTTTGGAACCAAAAGTAACCCTTGGTCTGTGTAGCGTTTCCATCACAAACAGTCCTCTTAAATATGGGCGGGTTGTTGTCACTCACTGCTCCGCCCAGCACTGACTGTATTTCCTCCTTTATCAGTCTGCACCTAGTTTATCGTCCACAGAACGAGGATGCACGCAGACATATTCAGAACAAAAAAAAACAGGCTGCAGTGAGAGTCTCTCTCCATGGGATATTTAAAAATAGCAGGTTTGTGCATTTAGTCCTTCTCAGGCAAGCTCAGGGGTTTAGTGTTGCTGGATCCCACAGGAACGACGCTTCGCAACACTGTTTTTTTACTCCAAGTGACGATTAGAATATATACAGTTCACTAAAGTTGGTTGAAATTAATATATTTTTAAACGCTTGAACATCCACTCTACTAAAAGTGTATGTCATATAAAAACTAATGGAATGGTCAAAGTTGTCATATTGAAATTTAAGGTGTGTTGATGGATCCACGTCGTCAACTCATGTATTGAGTAACATTACAAGTTAACGTTCCACCTTAAATTTCGCTGGCAGTCGGCCCAGTGAATTAAGTCATTTTTCTCAGA